TGAATTAAAATGGGAGCAAATAAAAGGTCAGATTTTATTTTTGTGTTTTTAAAGAAGAAAGCTCTGATACAACACAGGATTAAGTGCCTAAAAATCAAATAGAAACTTGCTACATTAAACAGCTAAAACAGTAATTCATGGGGTCATCTATTACCAAGAAAATATATTTTCTTAGTCTTCGTGCAATAACCTGACACAAATTTGTCAAGCCGTACTGACACAGCCTGCTGACCTGACACAGATCTGCTAGTTTTGAACTCCAGTGGGGAAATGTGTTCTGTTGCCTTCTCTTGTTCTTTATCCACTTGATGGTCCTTCAGGAGATGCAGAGAGGGTGGTATTGGGGAGCCATTCCTTCTGCCCTTGCCACTTGTTTGCTGGGTTCTTGTGAGGGGTAGAGTGTGTTTCAAGCAGTCCTGCACTTTTCAGTAGCTTTGTCTTCATCACTATATGCCAAGTTCAGGGCCAAAATATGTAAATTGTCATCCATTTGTTCCTTTTATGTTTTCAATATCTCAATGACAGGCTTCTTGTTCCCATCATTAATGTTTTATGAAAGCAGAACTCTCACATTGTGTATGTTCAATGAAGTCTGCGTTCAGTATTCCCCAAGGAAAACACCCCCGCCTAATCAGAATTACGGTTTGTGTTGTAAAGCATCCCCAGAAGCTGATATTTCAAAGATGAATGTGTTAAGGATTGGAAGGGGGTGCTTTCATTTTTGTTTTTGTTTTCAAAATAGGTCATGAGATTCTAAAGCTGATTTTTAAGAAGGTCAGGAAGTATAATGGTTTCACGGACCAAATTATTAAAAACTAGAAACTCTGCAGATGACAGATTTCTATTCAAATTAGAATTACTGTCATTGTTGTTGTTCCCGATGTTATTATTATCATGTATTGTTATACACTTGTGGGATAAGATGCTACAATGACTTTCTCTAAATCTCTACTCTGTAATCAGATGATTGGAGATGAATTAGTGGCTCAGTAAATATCCTAAACTATGCTTGAGAAGTTTCGGTGTCAAACAAAGGATGTTTTGCCAAATCCTTCTTCTTTTAATTTCTAAACATGTGTATTTCAAGGGAAATTTGATTCATATGTTTCTGATTCATTTACACTTAAATCATCAAAATGTTATTTTGTAAGGGCTATTTGATGTCCAAGAAGCCTTCTGAACCTGTTTTATAAGTCCTGTTAAGTCTTTTTTCTTAAAACGGGAAGTTGCATTTTGCCAAGTATAAATAAACTCAAACATTAAAAAGGTCCAAGTTTAGGATCCAACTCTCAAGTCCAGGTTTCAAACACATTCTCAACTTAGCAAAATATACCGTCCCTACACAGTTACGGAGAGAAGGAAAGATAATGATAATAAAAATGAGCGAAAGGATTCTCAAGCACTGTAATTCTCAGAGACATTTTTCTGATTGTGAAAAATCATAAAACCTATAGTGCAGGTGTCCTTGAAACCATCACATGCAGAGATGCATTGCAAATAGAAACACCTGCCTATATGTTCAGTCCCTATGCTGTATCTAAATACATTTACTAATTTTTTTTTTTTTTTAGAAAAGAAAGCCTAATGGTTTTAACTTTATTTTTACTAGTTTTATCTTTGACTCCCTTTGAGGATCATTTCTTTTAGGACAGTGGGAAAGTCAACACATTTTATCAAACAAAGGACTTGGGAGAATAGTTTTATGTCTGCCCAGAGATGATGCTGAGTATCAGTTTACAAATGTGACCGACACTCTTTTCTTGGAATTGGAAAAATGCAGAAAATTACTGTGGTTCACGCTGATACATCTTTTAATTCCATTGTGCCCTTCTTACTCTGACGCAAAGGTGATTCAACCTGACCTTGAAATTCCCTTCTAGCTGGCTTACTTGTATTTATAGAAGAATGAGGCAAAGATAATTACGAGAAGGACTGTGGACTATTTTAAACAACCTTCTCAGCATTTTGCTTTATTGAGTCTATTTTAGTATCTCCTCCGTCCTTCAGAGGAAGCAAGTGATGGATGGGTGGATAAGTATGATGCAAAAGAAAATGCTTGATTGAACATCATTAATTAAATTATCAGCTCAGCTGAGGAAACGCCCATCCAGTGACCACCAGGTCACATTAAGTTCGGTTTATTCAACCTGCTAAGCAAGGGAAAGCAGCACCTGTGGAGAGAGACCTCGCGTTTCTAACCAGGAGGAGGGCTTTAAAGAAGTATACAGAATTTTAGGGCTGTGCTCAGTTCTAAGGTTGTTTAACAGAAGACAGTAATAACTAAGGGACAGGCAAACAGCACTGAAATCTGTATACTTCAAATGTAAAACCATACCTAGAATTTATGGTCCAAAAGGAGGTGATGTCAAAAAGTAAAATTTAGTCTATGTTGCTGGTCGTGGTTTGACACAAGTTACCTGTTTTGTGATTCACTGCATAGTTTTACAAGTTATGGTCCCTTATTTCTCGCAGCAAATAAGTAAATATCCATATGACATGCACATGTTTTACTTATTAAGAGATCTTTACAAAAATTTATATGCTAGCCTCTCATTTAAGAGATTAATAAGCAATGGATTTTAATCATACTTTTTAAAGAAAATATTCAGAATCACTTAAGCCTTGTTAAAACCTGTATACCTACACCTATGCTTTATAAACTATTCTTTTCCTTTATTGCTACATTTTATTCATGCTGAAGAATATATATATATATATATATATACACATATATATCTCAGTACTAACAGTCAAATGTCTTTGAGATTTTTATGTTGTACTGTGAGACATTTTTCATCCATCCTGAATAAGTATTTGTTTGTGTCCTACCTTGCCTAGAAAAAAGCATGTGCTCCACCAAGTATCCGAGCCTATGTTCTTGAGTAGTACCACTAAAGCTTAAGAGTCGAGAATTCTGTTTTACGATACAAAGATGCATCTTGAGACCAGAATCATATGTGAAACAAACGGGCCTCACAGGTTTCAATATTGCGTTGTTTCCCTTGCGTGCGAAACCAGAGGGGAAGTGAGGAGCGTAAGGAAGGACAGACCCGGGAAGTAGGAAGGGTACGTTCAGATGGGAAAGCGGACGAAGGCGGGGGCAGGAGGAAGGAAAGACGGGAAAGGAGAAAAGACTGAAAGGAAAGCTGGAAACAGTGCTTGTTCAAATTGGGAAGGAGAGGATTGGAGGGAGAGGAGGGGAAGGGAAAGAAAAGAATTGAGATGTGTTACGTACAGATACAAATTCCCTATGATGGATGTGATCAATATGTGTGACAAATACATGCTAATAAAATATTTAAAACTAAATAAATAAAACAAAGATCAGTGCTGTCCTCCAAACTCCTGTATGAACATAAAGAGATTTTCAGAGAAAGAAACCAGGTGTGAGACCTCTCCAAACGATAATGTCCTAGCCAGGAACTGCTAAAGGTCACATGCAAATCCTTTGACAAAAACTTTTCATAAAAGCCACTCCATGTCTGGATAACCTAAAATTATAGTAAGTTTTCTTCTGAAGACATAAAATGAAGATATGCCCGTCAGAAAGCCTTCTTCAAGGAAAGTCAGTATTTGCCTTTTTAAGGCTGAATCTTTTTACTTTACCAGAGGTTTACCATTTATTAGATAAAAGCCATTGCTAGTTATATTTTTCATTGTAAATTGCCACTTATGAAATGTACATTTAAAAGAGTCTTGTTTTCCCAGGGGTTCTGCCAGTATAACATATTTTAAAAGCTTTTAATTTGCATATGTTTGTGATACATAATAAGTATATTCATCATGGGTGTTTGGTGCGTACACGTGTCACACCTCGGTCCTCACTTGCTTCTCCTTCCCATCTGCCCCTGTCTTCAGATTCCCTTCCCACCTCCATAAAATCTGTCTCCATTTCCTATCATCTTTCTTCTACTTTGCTTTTTAAATTATTTATACTTTGGATTTCTCGTATAAGAGAAACCATATGATATTTAACCTGTGTCTGATTTATTTCACTTAGCCTTTGGGTCCATTTTCCCACAGATGTCTCAAATCTGTTCTTTGTTATGGCTGAGTAGTACTCCACGGTGTATATACACCACATTTTTAAATCCATTCATCTGTAGCTGGCCATGCAGGCCACTTCCAAGGTGTAGCTGTTATGAGTTGTGTTGCTGTGAACCTGGGTGTGTGTGGATCACGGTGATATGATTTCCTAATTCTCCAACTCTTTCTCTTCAATGGTTTCATTAAATCATCACAATACTTGCTAACATGAGCTGTGGGTCTTCCTTGTGGTGGGCGTAAACCCATGAGCTTCTCACAGCAACGCTGCGATCAGATCTTGGGGAAACCTCTGAGCTTGGGGAAACCAGACTCACAAGAGCCTGGATTGGGGCCACACACACACCCAAGGAGGTGGCTTTTGCCTTCCGCACGCCGCCTCACCTAAAGTGATTCATGTGTAACTGACACTATCTCCTCTGTTCCTCATGATTAATCCTAGATCCTGTGCAGTTTAATAGCAAATGATTACAAACAACTCCACAAAATTTTTAATGAAATTATGATCACCTTAGTTATCTTAGTTCTCAACATCATGACTAAAAGGACCAGTACTTTCACATAACCCCAGGGTCCACATAAGTTCCGAGGAACTTGAAATGATATCACAGGGTAGAAGAGCTTGCGAACCAATAGGCATCTTCCAGAAAATATATTTCAAGATGGTTACTTTCCCAGTGAAGATCAACCCGAAGATCTCTCTTAAGCTGATTAGTTTCTAATTTAACTTCAATCCGAAAATATATTTAAGGTAATTACTTTCTCAGAATTCTACAGTTTGAGAACCAAACAATTGCATAAGCCCTAAGATAAGAAAGTAACAGTAGAGGGTCCATCTGTAGTGATCAGGATAACGGTTGCTGTTTCCCAGACTTTCACAGACTGCCTGCTGCTGCAGGTTTCTGCTTGGAACTGTCCTCCTAACCTCGTTTCCGCTCCTCCACTTTCTCCTCCAGGACTGCCCACCAGAAGCAGGTGACTTCCGAGCTCAGCAGTGCTCAGCTCACAATGATGTCAAGCACCATGGCCAGTTTTACGAATGGCTTCCTGTGTCTAACGACCCTGACAACCCATGTTCGCTCAAGTGCCAAGCCAAAGGAACGGCCCTGGTCGTTGAACTGGCACCCAAGGTTTTAGACGGTACTCGTTGCTATACCGAATCTTTGGATATGTGCATCAGCGGTTTATGCCAAGTAAGTGCTGAATTCTTCTCATTTAACTTGCCCAGAGTGTCTCGGTGCCTTTGTAAATAGTGTTTGCACAGTCTGTCTGTCTGAATCACTCAGTGCTACCCTTTCTAGGGTTTACAAATGGTGACAAATTTGAAAATAAGGTTTAATTTCAGCAAAAAGAACAAGTATTATATTTTGTATTAAGGAAAAGTGGACTAGAGTCTTTTTCCTTTTGAGTGCCACTTGAATATGGAAGAATAAAATTTCTTCAATATTGTGTATCACTTATGCACTAGACTTTCAAATTGTTCCTACCTTGGTTGGAGAGACAGAGAGAGAGAAAGAGAGAGGCAGAGAGAGAGAGACAGAGAGACAGAGAGAGAGAGGAGAAAGAGGGAGGGAAATGCTTACAAGGACTGATTTGACTTATACCAATTCTAACATCACAAGTCAACTGCAGGAAAACTTGTTTGTTTGTTTTTTTACTGTAACTCTAATTGAACTGAAAATTTTGACAATCTGTAGGAAAAGAGATGATGATGCCAGCTAGGTTGGATTTCAGCCATGTAACTCTTTAAACGGGGATACCCAAGAGGTGTGATTTCTGGTACCAGTTCATCAGTGTATACTTCCACAGGATCAGGTGACAAAGAGTACGTTTGCCCTGTGCTTGCCACCTTTAGTTAAGGTTCAGTTTTTGGAGTGCAATGGCCAGCCTAGTGTTTGGAAGAAGCAATTTTTCCACATGCTACTATTGATCACATACTTTTGTGTTTCACAACGTAGACATTCTGAAAACACTTGCCTTTCCCAACACAACGTGGATTAAAATTTTCTCTTTAGAATCAGGAGTATTAAAACTAACACCCTAAGAAAAATATGTTTCAGTAATTTATCTTAAATTCATAAGTTTATTTGAAACTAACCTGTATTCCAGTCCAAAAGGAAAATGTATAGTATAAATTACAACCAGACGTGTCAGATTTCAGGCATGGTTTTATGTGTACAAAAGCAAAGCAGATGTACTAACCCTTCACGTGAGACGGGAAACTGTCCTGTCCAAGGGTTTCCCAGATGAGAGAGGAGAGACGATGTATACATATCTACAATATTCTTCACTTGCAAAATCCGTGAAGCTGAAATGTACATTGGAATATTGAATGTTACTGTGTTTAAGCCAGCCAAGGCCTTTGAAGTCATCCAGTTAATACCCTAATAAGCAGTGTACTTGAACATCATTTGTGGTATTTTGCAAGTATTTCTAAAATTATTTATAATTATTTACAACTGTCCTCTGCCTGGGTCCTCAGTGGGATCAAAGTAGAATTATGGAATCTGCAAAGCTTTCAGCATGGTAGAGAATTGTGAAGCAAACAGATACTGAAACAGAGCCCTGTTGTAGGAAATGACAAGTAAAAGACTAAGAATTCCTTTGCATTTACACTGAGTGAAGCAAGGACAGTTTTCATTTTGTAAATGAAGAAGCCAAAGACCAGAAAATTTGCAAGATCTTCTGAAAGCTATATGGTTGGTCATGGATGAAACTGGACTAAAATCAGAGTCTCCAGTCCGGTGTTGTTTCTACCGTGTTACATTGCTGAATGGACCAAAATAAATAAGACAGGTCAGCAAGTTAGGTCTCATTTGTTTCTGTTGCATGGGAACTTACCCTGGCACGTTTTCTCCTGGCCTGTTTTTGCCAACACAACACATGTATCTTGGCAGCTGAAAGAAAATCCTATCTCAGCAGCTAAGGAACAAAATTATATATATATATGGAATTATGTATATAGTACGGAATGATAGTGCTGGACTTTGGATTGCAAGCGTAAGGATGCCTCTCTAATTTAGATTCGCATGATTGTGCCATGTTAATTTTGGGGCCAAATGTGAACTCTGCCACATTTGAAAAGAATTTTGACTCTTACATAGAAATTATGACCAGGTATGATTTTCTCCACTTATTTGGCTTGTGAAAGACAATTGTGTGTTAAGGGGACAGAAAAACTCATACTGCATTCAAACACTAGCAAGTAATTTATTTGGCTGTAGACTGGGCTCACCTCCAGGTACACAGTGGACAAAGAGGCAGTTTGGGAGAGAGGTGTGAGGGCGTGGATGGCAAACAGGACCATGGTGAAGAGTGGGGACAAAGCCATCGTCAGAGCTCCTCTGTAGAAAGGTGACTACGCTGCAATTATAAGGAGCGTGAAGTGGGAGGTGCGGGAGGCAGAGACCAGTGCAAGGCAGCTCTTGTAGCAGGGTGGTGGTGGCAAAGCACGAGCCTAGGAAGGCAGCAAGAATGAAAAGGAAACTGAGTCTCAAACCAGGAAGCTTTCACTCTTTTATAAGTACAGCATGGGAGTCAAGCATACACAAACAATCGAAACTAAAGCTTCGAATGGATTTGTAAGGGGTTCAGTTTTGGATTCTTCCCATTACAACCATCGTAGCCTGGGTCTTCATGACTAAATCTTACCTAAATGCCCTAACATAAATGGAAAGATGGAGGAGAGCAAGCCGATAAAGGAATAAAGATGGAATATATACATGGAATATGCACCTTTTCAGAAGGAGAAGAGCAAAATTAATCAAAAAAGAAAAACTAAAGCACTCATTGCTGCTGCAAAGAGAGTTTAAGTATATAAATTCCATTTTGGTCATAAAATAATTCCTTATCTAGGTATATCTTTATATCAGTGGTTAATGTCTTTAGCATTTGATAGGAAACATTAAGTAAAGAGCTTATTTTTATTTTTAAAACTACAGAGCTGGGGTGGTGGGGCACACCTATAATCCAAGCTATAAAGGATATTTAGGCAAGAGGACGACAAGTTTGAGGCCAGCCTCGGCAAATTAGTGAGACTTGTCTCAAAAGACAGAGACAGAGACAGAGAGAGGAAGGTAGGTCGGTGGTCGGTCAGTTGGTGGGTAGGTCAGGAAGGTCAGGAATCACTTAAATGTAGTTTTTGTAAACAGATTCTCCTGGTACGCTGAAAAACAATCCTTCTCCCAGCCCCTATTTACTTTCCCTTCCTTTCCTACTCCCTTTGTAGAAGATTGTTAGCTTTTTATCTGCCTTTATTTTTATCTTATTATAATTTTTGTAAGCTGTTTCAAATATATTTTTAGCGTAGGCACATACAAATTATAAACTATAGAAAAACAAGTATTAGATCTAACCTTGTCTAGACAGAAAATGACAGCATAACCATAGAGACTTGTAACTCATAAGCAACAATTTATTTCAATTGTATCTGTTTAATGCTTTTCTAAGGACCACTTCCTGAAAAATGTTCATACTGAACTCTTCAACAGAACCATGCAGTGCCAGGCTTTCCAAGGCCACAAGGTCCTCAGCAGTTAAAAGATACTGCCATTTTACAGAGGAGTAAGCTCAGAGATTGTCACAAATACACATGGGTTGCCTGTGTTTGTTATACATTTACATCGTGAAAATTCTAGAGTTATTGCTATGTATAGTATACTATCCTTATTCTTCTTCAGTAGGAATAGAGCACCATACTGGGTAGCAGTAGTAAATAATAACTTCCGTTGTTGAATGTCTACCGTATCCAGGCACTTGGCAGTTAGCTTTTCAAATATTTATAATTTGTACCTTAGATATCATTATCCTCACTCAAAGGTGTAGGAACTGAAGCTCAGGCAATTCTCTGACTTGCCCCAAAATACCCACTTCTAGCTCCAGAACTCCACTCCTTCTGGTGAGGTCAGAAGGGCAGAGACGGCACCATATAGCAATGGCCCCCAAACTTGGCTGCGTAGAAGAATTACCTAGAAAGCTCTTACAAAATTCGATGCTTAAGTCTCACCCTCCACACATTCAGATTTATTAGTTCTGTGTATTTAGAACACTCTCCTTATTATTCTATTGTCAGGCCACATTCACAGACTACTTATAGTTTGGGAACCAGATAGGATTTAAAGGCAAAAGACCTGAAGTAGAATCTGGGTCTTCTGTAAGTTGCTGTATGATCTTGGTCAAGTTATGAAGCCTCCCCTAAACTCTGTTTTTAGTCTGTGGAAAATGAGATTGACCATAGCATCAGGCAGGAAAATTGATGTGAAAATGATAAACGGTAAAGAATCATGGAAGTGTAGAAGCTGAAAATTTTGAGTTGGAAAATATATTAGAGTGCCGGTTCTCTGCATAGGCTGTCGTAGTTCTACAATATTTCCTATTTGCAGTGTGCGATACAGTAAGCAACTTTGGTTAAGTAAAGACACTTTTTTAAAGCAGTGGAAGAGTTCACACCTGGCGTGAGCAAGGCTCTGGGCTTCATCCCTAGAACTACACACGCAGACCCCTACAGAAAGATTTTCTGTCATCTCACTTCAGCGTTGTCACTGAAATGTTAACACCAAGACCAATAACCTAACTACAGACTAAAAGATGCTCGTAAATCATGTAGAGTTTTCCCGATGAGAAGGTTACTACCCTGTACATTCTCTTTTTTCTCAGAGCACAGAAATCATCACTCAGAGTTCTTCACAGACCAGCTCTGGGAGCACGGCCTTTGCACTCACCTAGCACAGGCTTGGGAAATGATGCTTTTCCCAGGGCTTCCCTGCCAGTTAACGGCGGACTGCAAGTCAAGGAGGGGCAGTGTTTATCCACATTTTAGAAATGCGTTCCCAATGATACTTCTTTAGCATATCCTCAGGCTGAGATTTGTGTCCATCTCTAATGCCATCATTAATGTTATGAAACCATGGATTTAGTGAATACTCTTTTTCCAAACCACATTCTCCCCTTCTCCGCCCTCCCCGCTACAATCTGATAACCATCCCCAGGGCGTCTGTGTGCTGCGCCACTTACATGTTCGGTCAAGAAACACTGGCATTCTTGTTTGCTTTATTCTTTTTTTAAAGAGAAAAAAACAATAAAAACAATGATACAAAGTTTCAAAAACAAGATAGTAGGAGAACAACAGCAGTTAATGCACTGCATGTTATCTTCAAAGTAGTTGCTCAGATTACAAGGTATAGGCGTGAAAAGA